GGGAAAGAGCTACACATTTTTATGCTGATCATATTTTTATGATCTACTCGGAAGGAGCAAAACTGATGCTGAGGAAAAACCCTTCAGCAAGGGAGAGGAAATGTGAGCCCACACTCAGGTGGAGGTGGGCAAGGGGCAGGTCAAGGGCCACATAGAGTACATGAGAGCAGATACAAGTAGGTTGGCTGTTTGATAGTGGGAAGTTGAGGGAATTCTATTCTGATTGATTCCATTACCTTCAGTGAAATAAGAAGCAAAAGGAGGAGTCAACTAAGAATGGGGTTTGTTGGAAGTTTAAGATAAAAGGAGAAGTGTGGCATGGTCTCAGAGATTGAAAGTGTTAAGCAACCAAGGCAATATGGTAGAATTCCCTGAGAAAACTGAGGGTCTACTTGAGGTTTGGGCAGTAACAGGTCTTATTGACATATCCTGTGCAAGACAACCTATCTCAACTATATGATATCAACGCCCTGAACACATGGTCTTTCTTTCTGCTGTGTCTCTTAAAGAGTTCAGTTTCGGTGCCATAAATTGCCAGTATCCTCCCTTTTCATTTTATGTGTGAACAATGATGTTGAAAGTATACTTGCAAGCAGCTGTCTTGAAGTATCAACTTCCATTTACTCTTTGAAAGTTTTATCATTATACCAGAACATCTTCTGGAAATATCAGAATGAGCTGACCCTAGGCACCGACACCATCACCCATCAGAAGCCATGACCCATGATTTATGGGTGTGAATTAGATCGTAGACTCTCAAGAGAATTGACACCCTCAGCAACTGCAGAATGAAGAAATCTGTGTCATTTTGCTCAGGATGAGTGAGGTAATTTTTTTGGTTTTTTTCTTTATTTTGGTTTTGTTTTTGTTTTTAACGTGATGGCTTTAAGTGAAGACAGGGCGACACAAATTGCATGACTAGCTCCTCTCAAAAGTTAGGTATTTTTTGCAGCCTACACACTGATGTCACTAACAGTACTTAATACCGGTGAGGTGGATATGATTGCACAGTGGGATTTATTCAAAGTGTATCAGGAAATGGGGGAGAGAAGTGAACACATTAAGAGGAAAAATAAATTTAAATTAAGTGCTTATAATAATTGACCAAGAAAAACGGTCAATGAATATTTAATCTTTTGTTCCTTTAAAAATCCATGTCGTATGGAAATGTGATGAGCAGAAAAGAACAATTAAAAGGTACAGGTACCTGACTGGCTTTTCCTGTCTCTTTCCCCAAATGTCAGGCTTATAGGAACCCCTATGGTCCACCTCTGTGCAGATGAAAATCTTTCCTTTCCAGACTAAAAGTCAAAATTCTGCATATTTATAGCCTGAAGTTATTGTCTGTGAATCTGGTAACTTAGACCAGAGAGTGTTGCTTTGAACACTGGTATTTTAGGCACTTTCCAGATAACATTGAAATGACCTTTTCTTAGCACTTGCCAAACTTATGAAAAAATTTAAAAATCTAAATTGAAACAGTAATTTAGTGAACTGACATTTTTTGCACATCAAGGTGATGCCCGAGATGATACCCAAAGTGAATATGGAAAAAAGAGGGACTCTCATCATGCTTTCAGGAAAAGTGTAAACTGACACAACTTTTTCAAACAAACTTGATAAAATGTACCCCAAAGTCTTAAAACATTCATTTATTTAATCAAAAGTATTTATTTATTGAGTGTCTTCTATATCAAGGGCTGGAAATTATATTCTATCAGTGAGTGAATAGACATTACACAAATAATTACAAGTGCAATGAGCCCCATGAAAGGGAAATCAAAAGGACCTAAGAGCAAAGAATTAGTCCTAAGAAAGTAATTAGAATTATACAGTAAGATATAATTTAAACAGTGAGAACTACCTAAATGTCCACAAGCAGTGGATTAAGTAAATTATTGTATATCCATGCAATGCAGTAATTCGATGGCATTAAGAATAAAGCTATAGAAAAATACTTAATGACATTAGAAATGTTCATAATATACTGGTTAATGGAAAATGTTATAAAAATGTGTCCGGTATGACCCAATTTGGTAAAAACTAAACAAAACTATTTATAGATCTCTATCCTTATCCATCTTCTATGAAGGATACACCAGAAAATGTTAGCATGATAATTGCTGGCTAGGGATATTACAGCAACACTTTCTTCTTTGTGCTTATCTTCATGAACATTCTTGTAGTTGTAAGAAATAATAATAGTAATAAGTATATAATTGGGCATGGGGTAACTGGTATTTGAGAGAGAAGACCTAAGGAGTGTATTATTCAACTGTTCTTCTAAATTACGTAAAATCTGTTCTTGAATTAAATTAGATCAACAGAATACAGTGTTTCTGAAATACATTTTTTAAATCCTCTACAGAAATGCTTTCACCAAGTTATAACTGAATGTTGAACTTGGCTTTATCAAGGCAATCTGAAGAACATTTTCTTAATCTTTGGCGAAATTACAGTTCAAAATATTGGCCCTTACTTTACTTACTGCTCCCTTTATAAAGAGCCAGTTAACAGGTTTCTAAGAGAATTGATGCCAGGAAAGAGTTAACTTTTCCGTGAGCTCTTATCAAATAGCACACATTTTAGAACACATCTTATTTCTCTTATTGCCTTGTCTGCCAGGAAGATTAGAGCTAAATTCAGTGATCGATTAATGTAAAGATCCAGCTCCTGGTACAATTAGTTCTGTCCTTTTAAGTGACATGTGTTGCTCATTTTTATAATTTTAAGCTCTTCTGTCTTTTAATAGCCAAGTCCCCTCAAATTCTTTTTCTAAATAGACATGTAAGGTAGAGAGATGTCCAGATGCTCTATAATAAATAAACAGGAAAAATTGGAAATTAGTACTCATTTGCTGTTTGTACATATACATAATGCTAAAGTTTTAAAATAGTTGTCCTTATAATAATCAATATTATTGATTGTTTTCCTAACTATGTTTGCCTTTTACATGGATAGTGAAAACATTAACTTTATCTCAGCCTATTTGAATTGCAATGGTTTTAAATAGAATCTTTAATATAACTTCGTTATTCTGTTAGTTAACTACTGGTCAGAATGTTAGTTTTTCAGACAGCATATTGTTTTGGAGAGTTTAAATTAATGAAATGCATTTTCCTATCATAGAAGGAATATTGAGAGAACACTTGAAAATTTCAAGTCTAGTCAACACTGGTTCCAGTTTTTTGTTTTTGTTTTTTAATCACTACTCCTTTCTGTATTACTTTTGTGAGAAGAGCTTAACCTTAAGAACACTAATTTGAAATGAAATTTTGTATTCTCCTAATGACTAGGGGCTGAAGTGTTTAAATAACCTTTTTCATCCCCAGGGAGATGACTGCTGTAGGTCAGGCTTGAGGTCATTGGCTGAAGAGTTACAAAAAAAGTCATAGTTTTGGCTGAAGATATAGTAAATTGGACTACGATAAAGCTGATGCTTCCTCTGAGATGAAAGAGAAAAATATTCAATCCTCCCCTCTGAACATAAATAAACACTGGCTATAGTTAGCCATTTTGGGTGGGTTGGAGTTTAAAATATTTCTAAATTTGGTACACATTACCATATGTAGTCAGGTTAAAGCTACTGATGTCTGGGAATATTTCTGGGAAAACAGAAGTATATCCAAGAAAATATAAAGAATCTTAGAACTGTAGAGATGGAAGCCCTATGGTGGTCCATTCTCCTGTATCTAGAAAGGCTGACAAAGAGTCCATAATAAGTAGAAACTCTCTTTGGAGAACTGAAGGAAGAGTGTTTCTGCAGCTTCTTGCTGTAATGAACTTTTATTCAGCCTTTGCATAAAAGAACCTGATGAAAAGTGGGAATTTGCATGATTATGGTAATCAGTGTTACCCTATCTTGAAAACTCTGTCTTGTCAATGCCCCCTTAAGATATTAATGTTCCAGGGCTTCTCTGGTGGCGCAGTGGTTGAGAGTCCGCCTGCCGATGCAGGGGACACGGGTTCATGCCCCGGTCCGGGAAGATCCCACATGCCGCGGAGCGGCTGGGCCCGTGAGCCATGGCCACTGAGCCTGCGCTTCCGGAGCCTGTGCTCTGCAACGGGAGAGGCCACAACAGTGAGAGGCCACAACAGTGAGAGGCCCGCATACCGCAAAAAAAAAAAAAAGATATTAATGTTCCATATGTGATGTATTCAAAGTTCAGAGACATTGTACCCTCTTATCTGCTCACTAAACATCTATTAATGAAGCCCAGTTATGGTAGTTTTGGGGGCAATTATTTACCCTATTGGTTTCTACTAATCATGTGATCTTTTATTTTTCTTTTTTCAGTATACCAACAGCAATGATCACCTTTATTTTCAAATCATGGACAATCAGAGGTATAGATTTACATGGGGATTGTAGGCCTGGGATTAGGCCATTGACTCTTTAACTTCCATGTGATAGTTTTTACGTGACTTTTTTCTAAGCCAGATTCTGCCATGCTATACTTGCTCAATTTATTCTTTTTTTAAACTTAGAAGCAGAACTTTACTATATCTACTAATTTTATCTTAATCCTTTTAACTTGTAGAAAGGCTTTTAAGTTTTAATTTTATCATCTGTACTACTAATTAGCATCTCCAGCTTTATGATGCTAAAACTTTAGCAAGAATGGCACCTCTATGAAGGCATGAGCGCTGTTCACTGGTCAGAATATAACACAGTACAGTTACTTTGGAGGTGAATTTGGCAATGTATTGTAAAATTAAAGTTGAAAATGCAGGAACCCAATAAATCCATCGCCAGGTAACTCTGGAGAAAAAGTTAAATATATGCACATGGAGATACGTACAAAGATGGTCATCGCAGCACTGTTTGTAGTGGCCAAGACTTGTGTAAAACCTAAATGTACATCAGTCAGGAAATAATTAAGGACTCTGGAATACTCTGTAGCCATTAAAATGAACAAGGTAGATCCATGTTTAATTATCATGGAAAGAATTCTAAGACATACACTGAGCAAAACCACAAGTTACTGAAAGTTAGGGAAACGTGAGACCATTTATGTAAAGATACATACACTCATACTAAACAACACTGTATCTTTTCTATGGTACACATATGCATGTAAATGCACAAAGAAAAATCTGAAGTGATACGCCCCAAACTGAGAAAAATGGTTTTGTCTGGGAAGAAGAAGGAAGTGACTGGGATTGGGGGTGGAGTCCAAAGGATACTCTCACCATTATCTGTAATGCTTTCATTTTTCACAAAGATATTGTATAACTTTGTATTATTGTACAAAGTTAATTTTTAACCAGTTAAAACCCAACAACAGAAAGAATGAAAAGAAACCTAATTCAAGGTGTCAATAAAAATGTTTAAAAGGAAAACATCCTTAAGCTCACATTAAAAAAAATACTCCTTCATTTTCTAGAAATGGTAAATGAAGAAATAAGAAACCAATTATAAGACATTAGCTGCCTGAGAAAGTCCAGGAACATCTTCTCGCTGGAAGATTCTCAACGTGTCCTTGTCCTTTGGGGAATGGGCACCAAATCAATCCATGCTCTCTCCTGTTCTGTGATGTGGCCTATTTCTGGGCCCTCATGCCTTCATATTCAGTATGAATTTTGGTTTTATCTCTTATAATGGAACTGAAAATTAAAATAGCTCAGAGTCCAACTTTGAGGAGCGAGGCAATAAGTGGATGAAGGGATACTTACAAAGATCTTCTCTCAAAATACAACTGCAGCCACTTTCCAACGGGGAGGATAAGATGGAGTGCAGAAGTCAGCAGAGAGCTGTCCCTGGAATCCTACGGGACATAGTGGCCAGAGACGACACAGGGCATCTTTACTTCATGGACCCTCTGCATTTACTTTCTGTTTTTTATTGAGGAATTTTACCTCAAATTATTATATTTTTCTCATTACATACGCATTCAAATAAGTAGGAAAAATTAGTACATGCATATGGTTTAAAAAAATCAAGTAGTACAAAAACAGTACAATGAGAAGTCTTCCTTTAACTGCAGATCCCAGTCCCTAGAGGCAGAGACTCCTGAAATATTCTGTCTATAAAAGCACGTATTGGGTTGGCCAAAATGTTCATTCGTTTTTTTCCGTAAGATGCCTCCAGTAGCACTTAGTTGTCTTTAACTTCATTCGAAACAATTTTGTTAGATTGTATTGTGACAGCTGTCATATCAGCGTGTATTTTAAAAAAATTATCAATATTGGTGAATTTTTGTGTAGCCCTTTTAATATTGAAGTTGGAAGAAAAAAGCAACATTTTTGGCATATTATGCTTTCTAATTCCAAGAAAGGTTAAAACGCAACTGAAACGCAAAAAAAGATTTGTGCAGTGTTTGGAGAAGGTGCTGTGACTGATTGAATGTGTCAAAACTGGTTTGCTGGAGATTTCTCACTGGACGATGCTCCACAGTCTGGTAGACCAGTTGAAGTTGATAGCGATCAAATCGAGACATTAATTGAGAACAATCAATGTTACACCATGCGGGAGATAGCTGACATACTCAAAATATCCAAATCAAACATTGAAATCATTTGCACTAGGTTGGTCATGTGAATCACTTTGATATTTGGGTTCCTCATAAGTTAAGTGAAAAAAACCTTCTTGACTGTATTTCCGCATACAGTTCTCTACATACATAATCTACATAACGAAAACGTTCCGTTTTGAAAACAAATTGTGGCGGGCAATGAAAAGTGGATACTGTCCAATAATGTGGAACGGAAGAGATCATGGGGCAAGTGAAATGAACAACCACCAACCACGCTAAAGGCTGGTCTTCATCCAAAGAAGGTGATGTTATGTATGTGGTGGGATTGAAAGGGAGTCCTCTATTATGAGCTCCTTCCGGAAAACCAAGCAATTAATTCCAACAAGTACTGCTCCCAATTAGACCAACTGAAAGCAGTACTCGATGAATAGTGTCCGGAATTAGTCAACAGAAAATGGATAATCTTCCATCAGGATAACACAAGACCACATGTTTCTTTGATGACCAGGCAAAAACTCTTAGAGCTTGGCTGGAAAGTTTTGATTCATCTTCTGTATTCACCAGACATTGCACCTTCGGATTTCCATTGATTTCAGTCTTTACAAGATTCTCTTAATGGAAAAAAATTCAATTCCCTGGAAGACTGTAAAAGGCACCTAGAACAATTCTCTGATCAAAAAGATAAAAAGTTTTGGGAAGATGGAATTATGAAGTTGCCTGAAAAATGGCAGAAGGTAGTGGAACAAAAGGGTGAATATGTTGTTCAATCAAGTTCTTGGTGAAAATGAAAAATGTTGTCTTTTGTTTTTACTTAAAAACCAAAGGCATTTTTTTGCCAACCCAATATATTGCAGGCATATGCATGTTTTCCCTTCATGAAAATGGAAGCATGCTAAACACATTGCAATATGCCTTACATTTTTCACTTATTTTCTACTTTTTCAATATACCTAGATCATTCCACAGCCATGTATATAGATTGACTTCATTAAAAAAAAAAAAAAAAAAAACTGCAATAGTTCTTTATAAATTGCATCTGGCAATGATGGGCTCTCAAAAAACATTAAATGAATGACTCCACATAGTTTCTTTCATAAGCCTCTAAGGAAGACCATTTTATTGTATATTTCCAGTCTTTTGCAACCACAAGCAAAGCTGAAGTATATATGTTCACACATCTTTGTGCATGTGTGTGAATATGTCTGTAGGATAAATTCCTAGACAAGAAATTGCTGAATTAAAAGATACACTTATTTCAAATATTGAATGCTATTGCTGATCGATCTCCCACCAGCAGTGAAAGAGAGTACCTGTTTCCTTCAACTCTCTAATCCTATACGTTAAACTTTTTGACTGTACCCATCTGAGAAGTAAAACAATGTATTTCTTTCCCTCAAATGTTTTATATTTTGTTTATATATTTTAAAAGGCTTCTTTATGTAAATATTATGTATTAATCTATATATTTTATTTATATTTCTTTTTCTATGAACTACTTGTTCATGTTCCTTTGCCAGTGAGTCTTTTCTCACTGATATTTAAGGTCTCTTTGTTTTTTAGTTTGACTTTGATGTCACAGATACTGCATAATTTCCCAGTTTGTCATTTATCTTTTTTTTTTTTTTTTTTGCCGTACGCCTCTCACTGTTGTGGCCT